GCTCTATTGAGGTATGTATGGCTAAAAACCCCTCTTCTTAGAAATCTAGCTCCTTTGGTGTCCATGCAAATGTTGTAAGTCCGAAAGTTGATTGATGTATTGCTTGTTATTTCAAATAAATTGGTGTTGCAAATATATATGTGAAAGGTGTGTCTCAATGTGTTCAATATGCTATTCTTGGTAACTTAAGGATGTGTGAAGAATGTGAACCACGTGCTAAAATGCCTAGATTTCAAGTCAAGTTTAAATTGAGATTGTTATGCCAATGTGAAATCTTGTCTATGCTTACAACTTGAATTGCTCTTGTATGTGCCTATTATTTTAAAACGCAAGGTTAATGTTGAAAGTAGAAATGATGTGAAATGTGGGGGAAAAGAGTTTGAGTCATGAAATGTGGCCTAGTGCCAAGTATGATGTGATAATTGTGGCCCCAAGTGTCGATGAACTGATATATGTGAAATAAAGATTGAAATGAGATGATTGATGAAAAACGTTAAACGTCTTGGTAAAACGGCCTAGCCGATCGGGCCGTGATCGGATGTCATGCTGCACACATGGTGGTATTATGCTGATATTGAAACCGGAAAGTGAGAATGAGATTGTGATTGAGATACATGTCTCAAATGAGGCAACCTAGCCGATCGGGTCGTGATCGGACTCCGCGCAAGAAAGCGGTGGCATTGTGAATGATGATGCAACAGTGTTAAATGTCCCAACCTAAAGCTAATGGAAATTATGTGAAAGATATGTGATCCCTTTTATTTGATGATGTGGTGATTGTTTTAAAGCCTTCGTTGATACTTATGATTTCTTTATTCTTGTACGTTAGTTCTTTCTAATGAGATGGTGTTTAGTTATACATACTAGTACTATTCCATGGTACTAACGTCCCTTTTGCTGGGGACGCTACATCTTTGAATGGATGTAGGTGGTTCCATAGCAGACAGTGCCGATCATAGGTAGCGGAGCATCCTCCTCTCAGCAATCTTGGTGAGCCCCTTTTCTTCCAGGGGTTATGCAGTATATCTTTTTGTTATAAATTACCACTTTTGAGGTATAACCGGGGCCTTGTTGCCGGCATTATCATAACTGTCTTTTGTATCTTTAGAGGCTCCGTAGACGTTTGCGTGGGTTATGTACGGGTGTTGGATGGGTCAATGAACTGTGTTGTAATTCTAAACTGTTGTTCCTTTAAACTGTAACTGTATGAAATTTTAGAAACTTAACTATGGTTTAAGGTTTGTAATATAAAATGAACTAGCAATGTTATATGTACGATCCTTCTTACAATCTAATTAAACGAAAGCATGATTTCTCGATCATAGTGAGTTGGTTGGATAGTGTCCAAAAAGGCTTGCTCAGTAGGGTTCACTTGATTGAGCACCGGTCGCGCCTCCCGATGTTGGGGCGTGACAGTTTCGAACAGTAGAAAGGTATTGACTTTGATAAAATTTTCTCACATGTTATAAAAATAATTTCTATTCAAACAATCTTGAGCCTGGCAGCTAGCCTAGATCTTGAAGTGGAGTAGTTGGACGTGAAAACTGCATTTCTACATGGAGATTTGGAAAAAGAAATCTATATGGAGCAGTCAAAAGGTTTTGAAGTAAAGGAGAAGAAACACATGGCGTGCAAGTTAAGAAAGAGTCTTTATGGGCTAAAATAAGCTCCAAGGCAGTGGTAAAAGAAGTTTGACTCATTCATGAGAAGTCAAACGTACGCAAAGACTTTTTAAGATATATGTGTATACTATAGGAAATTCTCTAACAATACTTTTATCATCTTGTTATTATATGCGGATGACATGTTGATTGTAGGACAAGACAAAAAGTTGATTGCCAAGTTGAAGGAAGATTTGTCAAGGTCATTTGACATGAAAGACTTGGGTCCAGCACGACAAATTCTAGGAATGGAGATTGTTCGAGATAGGACAAATCGAAAGTTGCTGTCATGAAGTTTGAACGTGTGGTTAAACGCTTCAACATAATGAATGCTAAACCAGTTAGCACGCCTCTTGCTGGTCATATGAATTTGAGCAAGAAAATGTATCTTACAACGAAGAAAGATAAATATAGCATGGACAAAGTTCCACATTTTTCTGTCGTTGTAGCTTAATTTATGCAATGGTATGTACCAAACCTGATACTGCTCATGTTGTCGGTGTTGTTAGCATGTTTCTTGTCAATCCCAGGAAAAGATATTGGGAAGCTGTGAAGTGGATACTTAGGTATCTAAAAGGAATCTCGGATGAATGCTTGTGTTTTGGAAGATCAGATCTAGTCTTGTTGGGCTATACAGATGTTGATATGGCCGGAGATACTGATAATAGAAAATCTACTACTGGATATCTATTTACTTTTTCAGGGGGAGCTATATCATGGCAGTCTAAATTGCAGAAGTATGTTGCACTTTCAACAACTGAAGGGAGTACACTGTTGGTACATAAGCTGTCAAGGAGATGTTATGGCTCAAGGGGTTTCTTCAAAAGCTTGGATTGCATCAAAAAGAGTATGTCGTCTATTGTGACAGTCATAGTGCAAAGACTTGAGTAAGAACTCCATGTACCATGCAAGAAGAAAGCATAGCAATGTGAGATATCATTGCATTCATGAGCAAGTGGAGAATGAATCTTTGCAGGTCAAAAAGATTCAAACGAGTGAAAATCCTACAGATATGTTGACCAAAGTAATACCGAGAGACAAGTTCGAGAAATGCAAAGAACTTGTCGGCATGAGCTATATATGAAAAATTGAAGATACCTCCTTCAGGTGCATGGGACTGGAGGAGAAGATTTGTGGGATCCATCCCATAAATTCTCATGTGAAAGAAAGAGCTTTCCTTTGGCAAAGGTTGCACCGTCAAAATCAAAGCTTGTCAAATAAAAATTTGTCTGGTAAGGAAAAATTAAAAAAGAAGGAAGACATGATTAGTAAGTTTTCTATTACTGATGTCACCACTAACATCTTTGAGAGGCTCTTCACCTCTATAAATAAAGAAGTTCTCCTGCAGTTGTCAGACACACCAAAACGGAGAGAAAGAGGGCGATTCACAGAGTAAGAAGCAAAATACTCTATGAGAAAAAAATATAAAGAGTTTGAGCGGTATTTGTAGTGAGATAGAAAAAAAAAGTTTTTTCTTTTGAGTGTGTAGTGGTCTTGGAGTATTTTTACTCAATACCACAAATTATAAAATCCTTGCTATAATAAAATCAGTTGCTCCTCTTGGGCGGTGATTTTTTTTATTCAATAAGGATTTTCCACGTAACAATCTCGTTGTGTTTATTTCTCTTATTATTACCGTTGATTACTATATTTAATAATTTGCATTTATTAAAGTCGTATACCGTAAATATTATTTTTGTGGAGGTTATTTTTCCAATATTATTGACTCTAAATTTTGAATTCGTACATGCGTACAAACATCCTATAATATAATTCATGACAAGGTTATCAAATTCGTGGTCATTTTCTCTTCAAGTTATTTCCCGAATGAGCAAATTATGACGGGCTACGAATTGGAGCTTAGCTAGCATATCACAAGCGTCTGGGAATTAAAGATTGAAGGTGATCAAGCTCATGCCCAACTCATACTTCCCTTGCCTTCATTTTTTTGTTGCTTAAAACCTGGGAAGTATTAACCTAAATAGATGTATGTCCAATCGTTTAAACTAAAAATAGTCGACGTGTGTATAATATATATATATATATATATATATATATATATATATATATATATATATATATATATATATATAGCATGTATATAATGGTATATAGTCAATATATATCGCACAGGAATAAATAGTAAACTCGACCAGCTATTTGTATAAAAATTCCAAAACCCTGGAGATTCAACTTTTATTTGACGGGCATTGCAAAGAGTTTTTACAGTTTTCAGATCACCTAAAGCATAACTAGAATGTAAATGTCCATAGTAAGCGAGATTAGTAACCTTAAAAATAAAAACATAACCTATACAACGTGTTAAAATACACTGATAAAAATTAGTTATATTGTCATGTATATAAATTTAGTCCTAAACGTGGTTACTGTTTTGAGGCATTTTCGCATCATTCAAAATTAGTTTGTTCAATTCCCATAATTAGTTGGCCTAATCTCCTTTCTTTATCATTTTAATATGTCTTTGAAGCTTATTTCCAAGATTAATGATGTAAGTACTATGTCCTAATTAGTATGGTATACGTATGCCTAAAGGAAAGGTTTTAGGCCATAATTTAGCCCTTATTTATCTCCTCATTTCATTTCTTTTCTTCTTTCCTTTTGGTATTCTTTGTTGAAGTATTTCAAGTAACCACCAAAGGTCGTGACAAGATGGATAGGATTCTCCATCCTTAACAGAGACGTCGGGTATAAATTATAAAAAAGTTCCGTGATTTTTACATAAATAGCCACTTGGATTCACTGTTTTTATTTTTTTAGCCAGTACACATAGATTATACACTGATTATTAACGGTTATACATATATTATATATGGATTATACATATATTATATATCGTCAGCTATTTTGCTGTAAGTGGTTGGGTGGAAGGCTATTTAGGTTAATTCTTCAAAAATTCTAGTAGGGACCTCTTCCCCTTTAATAGGTCTTACAGCGCCGTGCAAATCCAATGCGAGTACGGAATACCGGGTGAAAAAAAAAGAAATATTTAGAGTGAGTTTTATTAATTTCCTTTTACTTTTCTAGTTTTGTAAAAAGAATTATATTCGTCTATTAGAAGCTTTTCAGAAGGGGAGCCTTGGCGTAACTGATAAAGTTGCTGCCATATGACCAGGAGATCACGGGTTCGAGCCATGGAAATATCCTCTTGCACAAATGTAGGGTAAGGCTCCGTACAATAGACCCTTGTGATTCGACCCTTTAATTTCCCGGACCCCGCACATAGCGGGAGCATAGTGCGCCCTTTTTTTAGAAGCTTTTCAAAAAACTCTATATAACCAAAGCTTTCTCTTGTTAAACTCACAATCATAATTTTTTTGATATTGATCAAGAATAGAGTAATATTCTTCCAAATATGCGTTTTTCTCTAAATCTTGTCTGTCTTTTTGCTTTTCCCCTAGTTATAGGGGCTTTTGCCAGTAGAGCCAAAGACTTGCCTTTTAATGTCAACTATCATATTCTGTTTGGAAATGAACATGTTGTGTCCTTCAACAGAGGAAGAGAACTTCAGATTTCAATGGACAAAACCTCTGGTAATATATATATATATATATATATATATATATATATATATATATATATATATATATTAAGCTGTTAGAAAGAACACGTTTTTAATTGCTTAATTATGTCTTGTACATGTCTCTAACATGCGGACCGATCTTTTTTTTTTTGGTTAAATCGTGAAAATTATTTTTTTATAAATAGACGTTAGCTATAAGAAATGAACGAGTCTTGTGTGTACTTGAACTGTGTGACCATCTCATGTACTAAAAATTTAAACTCTTAAAAAAATAATTTTAATTACTTAATTTTGTTTTTCAACACATATCACCAATAGTCCAAAAAAGAAAAAAACGAAGAAAATAAAGAAGTATTTTCATTCATGATCAACTTTATTTTTATATTTGTATATGCATGGCGTACATTAAGGGCTCATTTGGTACGGTGGATAAGGGATATTTAATCCCGGGATTAAATTTGAGATAAGTTTAGTTATCCCGGAGTTATAATATTATTTTTATCCATGTTGGAGGGTGGAATAACAATCCCGGAATAACTAATCTTGCTATAATTAATTCTAGGATAACTTGTTTCCAAACCAAACGAACACTAATTAAGTTATTCTTTGTTTATGTATTTTTTTATATTATGCAAAATTATTTGTTGAATTATAGGATCTGGCTTTGGATCCAAGGCGAATTATGGTTCAGGCTTCTTTCACATGAGAATAAAGCTACCAGATAGAGACTCTGCAGGAGTCGTGACTGCTTTTTATGTAAGTATAATTAATATTAACAACTAAATTGTGTTTCAACTTCTATACGCTGATAATTTTAAAAAAACTTTTTCATATATGAAATCCATCGATAGTGTAAAAATAATTGTATTGTCACTGTATATAAGTTAAAATTAAGTAACTTTAATTATGGTTGCAGTTAAGATCAAATACAAAGAATCATGATGAGGTAGATTTCGAGTTTTTGGGCAATAGAGAAGGTAAACCATATACGTTGCAGACGAACGTATTTGCAAATGGCCAAGGAAACAGAGAGCAAAGGATGCATCTTTGGTTTGATCCAACTGCAGATTTTCACAACTATAAAATCCTATGGAACCAGCATCAGATAGTGTAAGACAATTATGTACAGCTTTTTTTTTTTTTACATAGGGGTAGGCGGGTAGCCTTGGCGTAACGGGTAAAGTTGTTGCCATGTGACCAGGAGGTCACCGGTTCGAGCCGTGGAAACAACTTCTTACAGAAATGTAGGGTATGGCTCCGTACGATAGACCTTTGTGGTCCGGCCCTTCCCCGGACCCCGCGCATAGTGGGAGCTTAGTGCACCGGACTGCTATTTTTTCTTTTTTTACATAGGGGTAGCCGTAGCGGCGTACACAAAATATTTCATAAGCGGTATCATAATTTTAAAAAGTGGACTGATGAACAAATTACTATAACGATAATCAGTGTCATTTTTATATTTATTCTAAATATTTTTATTTTTCTTATACATATATATTAAAAGAATCCGACGAAGCAGTATCCAGTGACACTGCGGCCCTAGGGGTAGGATAAGGGGAATGGGGAGGAGATTAGAAGGTGGAAAATCGAGTCCTCACCAACAAGGTAAAAATTGAGGTAGTCAATCAACTGATCTTACTGAGCTACTTATAAGGTTTCCCATATTTATGTACTATTTAAAGTGATATATTCATGTTTTTTTATAACAGTGGTGTCCAACCAATTTGATTTGTGCTATTTCACTGTGTTTTTATTGTTTTCCGCCAGCACAAGCATTGAATAACTCTATCTATTAAAATTTTGACACATGAGAAAAAAACACCTAATTGAATCTTCTTTTACCATAGTCATGTATAGAACTAATAATCTAGTAGTAATAAAGATAAACTGCTCATAGTGTATAGAACTAATAATCTAGTAACCTGAAAAAATAAGGTAAATAACCTACTAAAATAGGTTGATTAAATTGCACTGATATGCAAAAGTTCATCTATAAGTTATTAGTAGAAATAAGATAAATTTCCTGAAACAAAAGACAAGTTAAAATTTCATGAGTCTGATTTTTTATGTTTTCTTTTGCAATATGTTTCAGGTTTTTTGTGGACAATATACCATTTAGGGTGTTCAAAAACAAGGCAAATATTGGAGTGAATTACCCATCAAAACCAATGCAAATATTAGCTACAATATGGGATGGAGATAATTGGGCAACAGATGGAGGATTAACAAAGACCAATTGGTCATTTGCACCTTTCAAATCTCATTTCCAAGATTTCAATATTATTGGCTGCCCAATTAGTTCCATTAATACTAATTGCAATTCTCCTAATTTTTGGTGGAACCAAAAAAAATATTGGAAGTTGAGTTCTAAACAAAGAAAAAAATATGAAGAAGTTAAAGCCAAGTATATGACTTATGATTATTGTGTTGATAAGTCTAGGTTTTCTACTCCACCCCCAGAATGTTTTTCATAATTGTATAGAAAAATAGTACATGCACCTATAATAAATACTTTAATTTTTTTTTCAAGTGAAAATGGTATTTGAACTAGAGTTCTGTTTGGACATGAATATAATTTTAGGTTGTTTTTGAATTTTTGTGGATGATCTGAGTGAAAATTTTGAAAAATAATTTTTTTGGAGTTTTTAAAATTTTTGAAAAATTCAAAAATTCATCTTCAAGTGAAAATTAAAATATTTATGGTCAAACACTGATTCCAAAAAAAGAAAGTAAAAGAATTTCGAGGAAAAGTAAACAAATTTTCATGGCCAAATAGCCAAGCTGCCAAAAATTACTTATTTTAAAAAGTACTTTTGTTCAAAATTACGTTTTCGAAAAAGTACTTTTAGAGATTAACATTTTATGTTTGACCAATTTGTTTGAGAAATGCTTTTTGCGATATTTGATAAGCAATGTTTGACCAATCTTTTCAAAAAGTACTTTTGAGTGTCACATTACGATAAAGGACAGTAAATATTTACTTTACAACTAGCATTATTTTAAAAAAGAGGAATTTTGAATATATATTACAAAAGAATTTAGTTAATGTCCTATTTTTATGTAATTAAATTATAAAACATAAAGTAATATATATTAAAAATTTTAATCAATATAAAATAGAAGTATATAAAAGCAATAATATAGGTAGAAATATATGTGCTAGCAAGTTACATGTATGAAAAATACTATTAATTGTTGAGAAAATAACAAAGTAGGTAATATCGCATTATGTCAACTTTATTATATGCATGCACGCAAAAAAATATATAAATAAAATTACAAACTGGAGTTCATATAATATTAGTATACTAAAAAAGGAAAAACGAAATCATAACATTATGAAAAAAGTACTCGAAGTGATTAGGCTTGTTATTAAAGAGTAATAAGAAACGAAGAAAAGTGTGATGACCCAAAAGGTCATCACTTGCTTTAAATTAAAATCTGTATTTCCGAGGCCTTGAAAACCTCTTTTAGCATCACCTCGATATGCGTGCACAGTCCAGGCGCGTAGCCGAAAAGCTTAAATATGAAAATCTGTGAAAAATGGTAAAATTTGGCTATAAAATGAGTTAATTTGACTTCGGTCAACGTTTCGGGTAAACGGACCCGGACTCGTGATTTGACGGTCCCGGAGGGTCCGTAGGAAAATATGGGACTTGGGCGTATGCCCGGAATCGAATTCCGAGGACCCAAGCCCGAGAAATGAATTTTTTTGTAAAATTGTTTTCTGAAATTGTTTAAGAAAATTTGAAATGCAAAATTGATTAGAACGTGTTGGTATCGGGCCCGTATTTTGGTTCCGGCGCCCGGTACAGGTCTTATATATGGTTTAAGTCATTCCTGTGAAATTTGGTTGAAAACGGACGTCGTTTGACGTGATTTGGACCTTAAAGGCAAATTTGATGTTTAAAGAAGTTTTGAGAAATTTCATTGATCTTGAGGTTTAATTCGGTGTTCATGATGTTATTTTGGTGATTTGAGTACAGAATAAGTCCGTAGGATATTTTTGAGGTTGTGTGTATATTTGGTTTGGAGCCCCGATGGCTCGGGTGGGTTTTGGATAGGCCACGGGGTGAAATTTTGGACTTTAGGAATTGCAGGCCTGCAGACTTCGCATTTCCCAAACTTTCTTCGCAATTCCCAGGTTCGCATTTCCCAAATATTTTTCGCAATTACCAGGCTTGTTCGCATTTCCCAAACTTTCTTCGCAATTCCCAGGTTCACATTTCCCAAACATTTTTCGCAATTACCAGGCTTGTTCGCATTTCCCAAACTTTCTTCGCGATTCCCAGATTCGCATTTCCCAAAAAAATTTCGCAATTCCCAGGCTTGTTCGCATTTCCCAAACTTTTTTCGCAATTCCCGGTTCGCATTTCCCAAATTTTTTTTCGCAATTCTCAAGCCAGCAGAGGTTGGTTCGCAATTGCGAACCCCTGTTCGCAATTCCCACATCTGAGACCTGCAATTTTACACTTAGCCGATTTTAAACCCCATTTTTCATATTCTCTCAAACACAAACACACTTAGGCGATTTTTCAAGAATTCCTTCTTCTCCAAATCAATTGTAAGTCATTTTTAACCAACTTTCTTTAATTCTTATCATCTTTTAACATGATTTCAACTTAAAATCAAAGATTTTCATGGGGGAAATTGGGTGTTTTGGGTAGAACCTAGGCTTTTCAAAAAATGATGATTTGGACCTCGATTTGAGGTCCGATTTCAAAACAAATTATATACTTGGGTTAGTGGGGGAATGGGTAATCGGGTTTCGGTTCGAACCTCGGGTTTTGACCATGTGGGCCCGGAGGCGATTTTTGACTTTTTGGGTAAAACTTTGGAAAATTCATTTTCATGCATTCAAATTGATTCATTTAGCGTTTATTGATGTATTAAGTAACTTGTGACTAGATACGAGCGAATTGGTGGTCGAATCAAGGGGTAAAGTTATAAATGGATCATAAATTGTGTTCGTGACATCGAGGTAAGTGTTTGGTCTAACCTTAGCTTGAGGGATTAGGAGTTGAGTCCTATTTGCTATGTGATAATTGTTGAGTACGACGTATAGGCATGGTGACGAGTATCTATACGTTGGTGTCAAGTATGACTGTGAGTCTTATATTGTGATTTTCATGATTTTGTTGTATTATTCATGCCTTGGTGAAGATTTCTAATTGTTGTATAAAGTTTGTGGAAATAATTGTGACCTATGAACATTGAGGAGCGTTGGCTCGAGTTGTATATGAATTGTGAAAGTATATGAGATGATTTAACCCTTTGAAGCATTGGCTCAAGTGGTAAAGTGAGTTATGAAGTACAAGTAAAAGATAGAGAAAGAGTTATTGAAATGTTCCCTTGCCTGGATTTAATTATTTACTTGTTGCTCCCTTGCCGGGATTTAATTGTTAAATCGTTGTTCCCTTGTCGGGATTCCTATATGTTCTTGTTTATTTCCCTTGCCCTTGATTGTGATTATTGTTTGGGTGAGGAAGAGTGTTAAAGCACGAAGGGTGATGCCGTGCATTGTTTGCTATTGTGAGGAAAGAGTGTAAAGCACGAAGGGTGATGTCGTGCCGCACGATGTACCATTCCGTGCAAATTCTATTGATTATATGTGAGGAAAGAGAGTAAAAACACGAAGGGTGATGCCGTGCACATTTTATTATTCTAATTGCTTTGGTGAGGAAAGAGAGTAAAAGCACGAAGGGTGATGCCGTGCACGTTTTCATTATATTATTGCTTGGTGAGGACGAGAGTAAAAGCACGAAGGGTGATGCCGTGCACTTGTCTTTGATTTTCCTTATTCTTGCTGATAATTGATTTTTGTTGTCCTTTACTTTTATTTACTGATTTTCTTGGTGTTATCGGTTCAAGTGCATTAATTGTCTTATTCCACTATTACTGTGATTCTTTATGTTGGCATTTTCCTTTATTGTGTTACTTGTTATTATTGGCTGGAGGTATCCTTGCGCAACATTATGCCTTGAATTTATGCTATAATTGCTACATGTTTATGTGACTTAATTGCTACTTGATATTTAGCATACTAAATATTAAATTGCCTATTTGCTCCTTAAAGTCCATAATTAATTGCTACTTGTCATTACTTATTTTCCTCGTTGAGTCATAATTATTGTGTACTTTATTGTCTTATGAATTCGTATTAATTATTGCGTTTGTTGGAGTAATTTCATTTGGAAGAACAGTTAATATATGAAATGGGAGCGGGTGGTACGCCTACCACAAAATATAATGAAATGGGAGCGGGTGGTACGCCCACCACAAGATATGAGAAATGGGATCGGGTTGCGCGCCTGCAACGAGTTGTGAACCGAGAGTGAAATCTGCCTTTGTTTTCCTTATCCTTGTTAGAAGTTGAATTTTGGTTTCCTGATAATTCTCTTGAGATTTTGTTTTATTTGTTATTTCTCGAAGCATGTTTCCCCCTCCCACCTTTATTTGTTATTTCTACTTTACTCTCTGCCGTATATTATACAACTGCACAGGTTTATGTGGTAGTCTGGTCTAGCCTCGTCACTACTTCGCCGAGATTAGGCTAGGCACTTACCAGCACATGGGGTCGGTTGTGTTGATACTACACTCTGTGCTCTTTTGCATAGATCCAGGTCCTGGACAGCAGTAGTAGCTCGAGAGCCAGCCTTCAGTCCACCGAGACTCCGAGGTAGCCTTGCACGGGTTCGCAGGCCTGGCGTCTCTCTCTCTCTATCGACTTTCCTGTTTCTTACATGTATTTCCAGAGACAGTGTTGTATTTAATTCTTTCTGACCTTTATTTGTAGTACTCTTAGACCGTCTGTGAAACTGTTACACCAGTTTTGGGTAGTCGAAATTCAAACGGTTGTTTTCATGTTATCGCCTTATATTTGTTAAAAGAAGCAAAGTGATAATGAAGTAAGTAGCTAAGGATTGGCTTGCCTAGCTCTCGTTAGTAGGCGCCATCACGACTCCCGAGGGTGGAAAAATCCGGGTCGTGACAAGTTGGTATCAGAGCTCTAGGTTACACGGGTCTCACAGTTCACAGACAAGCTTAGTAGAGTTTGAGGGATCGGTACGGAGACGTCTGTATTTATCCCCCAGAGGCTACAGAGTTAGGAAAAGTTCCACTTCTATTCTTCCCTGTCGTGCGATTTTGTTCTCTCAATGCTAAATTGAAACCTCTACTCTTGTCCCTTCGCGAATGCCGAGGTCATGTACCGCTTCTTCAGCTGAGCAGCAGCACAGACCAGTGATAGATCAGCTACGTCTTCGGAGGCTTTGTGGAGGTTGGATAAGTTTCATCAAGCTCTTCACTACTACATTCAGCGGTGCATCTACTGAGGATCCCCAGAATTATCTAGACAGTTGTCATGAGGTTCTCAGGAACATGGGGATCGTGGAGACCAATGGGGTCGATTTTGCTACCTTTCACTTGTCTGGATCCGCCAAGACTTGTTGGAGAGATTTTTGATTGGCTATACCAGTTAGGTCACCAGCTTTGACTTGAGAACAGTTCACGCAGCTATTTCTGGAGAA